CCTTGGCAACCACCACCCTACTTTCTGTTTCTGTGAACTTGACTACTGGAGATCCCGCCTCTCAATAGAGCCTTGCTATGTTTGTCTTTTTGTGTCTGGCTTACTTCACTAAGCACGGTGTGCTCATCCGCATCCATATTGTAGCATATGTCAGAACTCTCTTCCTTTTTAGGCTGAATAATATTCCATTGTATGTAGCACATTTTACTTATCCACTCATCCCTCAATGGATATTTGGGTTGTTTCTGCCTTTTGGTTATCATAAATAACAGTGGTATGGATGTGAGTGCACAAATACCCGTTCAAGTCTCTGCTTCCAATTATTTTGGATATATATATATATATATATATATATATATATATATATATATAATCTCCAGAGTGGATTGCTGGATCATATGGTAATTGTACATTTAATTGTTGGAGGAGCCACTATTGTGTTTTCTACCATGGCTTACGCCATCTTATATTCCCACTACCAGTGCACAAAGGATTGTGTAAGAACCCGAAACAGGTCAGGCAGCCAGTTCAGCCTTTAGTCCTCAAAAAGCACATTTGGTCTTGAGGAAGGTGTAGGGCCAAGGTACTTGCCCATCACCCATTCTAAGAATTAGCACAGTCTGAGATGTGGAATTGCTCATCCATCCTGGGACGACAGCCCAGCGTCGTGTGGGCGTGTCTACCTAGCCCTGTGTAGCCTACCTCCCTCTGCTGTGCTTGGCCCCTCCCTTGCATCCTGTATGACTTTCAATATTAAGGTCACTGGCACAGAGAGTCATAGATTACAGACTAGAACCCAGATCTCAGGCCCCCAGTCCAGCTCCTCTAACAACTGCTGCTCTTGCTTCTCCATTGCCACAGGCACCTGCCCCTGGGGATCCGTGTGAGTCTGCCAGCACCACTCCTATCTCAGCGTTGATGGAAGCATTCCTGAGTGGGGTGGGGGGTGGGTCAGACAGTCCCTGTGTTTCTCTTTCAGCAAAAGCATTTTACAACTGAGTGCTTTCAGGCTACGGTGACTGTCCCGAGATTGGGAGCCTTGCATCATCCCGAGCTAGGGACAACCACCAGGCCTGCTTGCTGGCTGACAGGCAGGGTCCAGCTTGCCTGGCCCTCTTTCTGGAGCCGCAGTCTTCTAGTTTTTAATGGCCACCTAGGAATCCCCCTATCCATCCACCTATAGCTTCCGCTCCAAGGGAAACTGAGGCTCAGAGGGGTTTAAAAATTTGCTCAAGATTTCATAGCTACATAGGGATAAAATCAATGTCTCAACTCCCTGTACTAGTGTCTATTTCTTTTTATGACCCTAAATGTCAGCAAAACTCCCAGCAGCCAGGCCCTTTCCAGGCCACCTCCATCTGGGAGGAAGCAGATGTAAGGTCCTAGCTGCCTGCAAGGTTAGAGAGCTCCTGTGTTTGGATGTGCCTAGGGGTGGAGGAATTCCCCCCAAGCCTTGCTCCTCCATCCCTGAAAAGTGTGTGTTCTGTCTTTTCAAAGCTGCATTTCAGATTTGATTTCAGTATGGATTTTGAGTAAGACACTTGGAGGTACAAATTCCAGCTCTGCCCCAAACCAGCTGCTTATGTAGGGTAACACCTGTGATCAGGAGATGACATGTATCAGTCCTGGCATTAGTGTCTGGCCCCGACAGTCAATGGAAGTTAAAAAATTCTGGTGCTAGCCAAGGGCAGCAGCTCAAGCCTGTAATCCTAGCCACTTGGGAGGTGGAAATTGAGAGGACCAAGTTTCAAGGCCAGTCTGGGCCGAAACTTGAGAGACCCCATCCTCAACAAGTCTCTGTGTATGGTGGTGTTTGTATTCCAGCCATGTGGGTAGGCACAAATAAGAGGACTGGTGTCCAGGATGGCTCAGTCATAAAGTGAGACCCTATCTTAAAAATAACCAAAGCAAAGAAGGCTGGGGTGTAGCTCAAGTGGTAGAGCATCTGCCTAGCAAGCATGAGGCTAAGTTCAACTCCTAGTATCACCACAAAAAAAAAAAAAAAAGAAAAGAAAAAATTCTGGTGCTGGGGTCTCTACAGTAGAGCCTGTGCATTCAAGAAAGGCTCAGAACTCCACAGGGGAGAGGAGATGTTGCATGGGGAAGAGTGGGCAGAGAAAGTCAGCCCACGTTTTTGCTGGCCTCAGGTCCACACCAGAAGGAAGGGCAATGGGATGAGACAAAAATAAGAAATCAGAGGCTGCCGAGCACCATGGCTCATGCCTGTAATCCCAGCTACTCGGGAGGCAGAGATCAGGAGGATCAGGGTTCCAAGCCAGCACAGGCAAATAGTTTTCAAGACCCCATCTCAAAAAAACCTATCACAAAAAATTGTGCTCGTGGAATGGCTCAAGTTGACCCAGCACTGAGTTCAAACCCCAGTACTGCAAAGCAAAACAAATGGAGGCTAGATACAGTGGGGTACAGCTGTAATCCCAGCTACTCAGGAGATGGAGGTAGAAGGATTACAGTCCAAAGCCAGCCTAAATGAAAGGACAAGACCCTATCAAAAACAAAACTGAAACAAAAAGGGCCAGGGGTGCAGCTCAAGTGGTAGAGTTGCTTGTAAGCACGAGGCCCTGAGTTCAATCTCCACTACTGGAAGGAAGGAAAGAAGAAATGGGAGAAATGTTAAATTTTGAATGTGTTTACTTATGAGAACCTTTTTAAATTTAAATTTTCATTGCTTTATTTTAAAAGTATCATGTGAAGATGGACCTTATAATCCCAGCAGTTGGGAGGCTGAGGCAGGAGTACCACAAGCCAGCCTGTACTTCATAGCAAGACCCTTAAAGCAAACAAGCAAAAGCACCATGTGTTCATTGTAGAAAAATCAGAAACTATATTGAGGCAAACCAAAAGGATCAGCTCATCCATCCCGCAGAGAGCCTCAGTCCTGCGGAGGTTCTCACTGCAGAGTCAGTTATACACACAAGTTTTATAAATTAGGGATCATATCCTAATATACACCTCTAGTTCATTTTGTTCTGGTTGTTCTGGAGATGGAGGTCACACGAACTGTTTGCTTGGGCTGGCCTCGAACCGTGATCCTCTGTATCTCTGCCTCCTAAGAGGCTAGGATTATAGGTGGGAGCCACTGGTGCCTGGATTACATGTGGCTTACAGACTAATAAACTGTATCCTGCCCTAATTCTAAGAGGCTATGTCTCATTTCACCTTGAGGTTGGATTTCTCTGTTTGAATTCTACATTTGGAGGTGGGATAAAGGGCATGGAGTAGGAAAAAAAGGGACAGAGAGACACTAACCAGTGTCTGTGGTGCACCGTCTCTGCCCACAGATGGTGCCGGGGTCTAGATGATCTTCACCCGGACAGAGACTTTGCCTCATTTGCTTTTCCTGGATCAACCCTCAATGAGCAACAGGAGAGTCCTCTATTCCTGCAATTTCCAAATGTGTCTTGTACAGACCACCAGGTAGAAGACAAGCAGTGATGGGGCCAGGGTAGATAAGGACTCTGTGGGAGAGGAAAAAGGACAGTGGGGAAGGCAGAATCCCCCCTCCAGCCCCACCCATGCAGGACATCCCTGAACCCAAGAGCACTAGGCAGAATCCAGTATATGAGTTATTGATCGACTCACTTTTCCTCTCCATGGGACTTTGAGGCCCACCTAGGTCAGAACCACACCTGGGGGAGCCCTGTAAACGAGAGTTAAACCGGATGCCACTAATGTTGATGAACAGCCCCACAGAGTGAGATTGGTAATTTCATTGGCTTCCGTTGGCCAGAATGAGGCAGAAATAAAAGGGCTCTCATGGGGCTGGGCATAGTGGTGTATGCCTGCAATCCCGGCTACAAGGGAGACATAGGAAGGAGGTCATGTTCTGAGGCCAGCCCTGGGCAAAAACTCAAAACCCTATCTGAAAAATAAACTAAAGCAAAAAGGGCTGAAGGTGTGACTCAAGTAGTAGAGTGCCTGCCTAATGAGTAAAGGCCCTGAGTTCAAATCCCAGTACTGCCAAAAAAACCAAAAAACTAATGTCTTGGAAAGGAGCCCTCAAACTTCTCAAGGCTGTGGAGAGCCAACAATATTGAAGGTTAGTGTGGGCCAAGTTGAAAACAGAGGCTTGAAACCAGCTGCCCAGCCACAGGAACCACAGTGCCCACAGGCCACGGGAGGGTGACTGGGGCCCTTCCCTCACAGAAGGGCTTTGGGGTGCAGCTCAGCTCCCCCATCTGCAGTACTAAAGATAAAACTAGATGGTCTAGGAGAGCCTTCAGCTTCAGAAGATCTGTGATTTTTTTTTTTTTTGGCAGTTCTGGGGTTTGAACTCATGGCCTCACGCTTGCTAGGCAGGAGCTCTACCATCTGAGTCAGATCTCCAGCCCTCTTTTGTGATGGGTTTTTTCAAGATAGGATCTGGCAAACTAGTTTCCCAGGCCTGACTTTGAACCACGATCCTCCTGATCTCTGCCTCCTGAGTAGCTAGGATTACAAGCGTGAGCCACGAGTGTCTGGCTGGATCTGTGAATCTTAAAAGCTAACCAAGGATGAATATCTTTGGCAGATTGAAGACCCTAGAGGTCATGACCCAAGAAGGACACAACTCAGGCAGGAGTTGGCACCATCTTCTCTGGGTAACAATGAACTCTGTTCTGCTGAAGATATGCTGGGTTTGGATCCTGAAACCCCTCCCCAGCTGGGTGGCCTTTTCATCAGGGCTGGAGGCCCTGCTCCCGCCTGCTTGGTTCTCCACCAGTGCCCATGGGGGAGAAGGAATGGACAGCATGTGAGAATGTTCCCTCTCCCACTTGGGAAGTCTGCTCCTGGAGTGGAGTGGGTCCACATCCCACCCACCTTTCTCCTACCTTTGTCTCTAGAGGTCCTCCTGCCAGCTAAGGACAAGGAATGATCTTTGGGGACCATGGACTATTTGCCAGCATGGCCTCTGGCTCTGGGTTGGCCTTTCCCCCCAGGCGTGGGAGGAAGGCCAGAAGTGGAGGCCAGCTAATGGTGACCAGTGGGTACTGTCATTGCAGGAAACAGCAGCCACCTCCAGACTGAGCTCTGTCAGAAGCACTGGCAGGATCTGCCCCTCAGTCGGTGCCAAAGCACCATGCAGGACACCCGGAAGGAGACTAGCAGCATGTGGGGACTGATGGTGATAGCCCAACTGCTGGCCGGCATTGGGACAGTGCCCATCCAGCCATTTGGAATCTCCTATGTGGATGACTTCGCAGAGCCCACCAACTCCCCCCTGTACATCTGTGAGTCACAGGCTTGAAGAGGGCTGTGGAAAGGGTGGCACTTGGTGAGGCCCTGGAGACTGAAATGAAGTCTGATGCTCTTTGCTCACAATCAGACAGACTTGTTATGAATGCTAGCCCTGTTATAGTCCTGGACAACTGGTTGACCCCAGGGACCCAAGTTCTTCACCTACAGGATGGAGCTAAGATTGTCTATGTGCTCTGTGGCTATGGGATTACATGAGCTAATGCATGTGACACTTGCCTTGTGTTGGGTGCAGTGTAGATTCTAAACCACCAGCAGCCACTGTTGCCATCTGGTCCTGTAGGCACAGGTTGAGGTGCATGTGTCTTCTCTGAGCTGTTGGCTGAGGGGCAGATGGCCAGCTGAATGCTCAAATCCTTCCCATACCGAGAACCCCCAGGGCCTCAGATCAGATGGACCCCACCTACAGGTTCTGTGACCCCACAAGTTCCTGCAGGGCCACCAGCACTGTACCCAAGGGAGCTTCACCTGTCAACACATGTGGGCTGGCATTTTTAAGATAGCATGGATGCCATTTCTTTCCAGGCCAGTAGGTCTCTCTGGCAGGTTTGGCTCTGTGTGTCTTGGCATCTTGAGTGGCCCTGGGAGATGGTACAGGCATGGGCTTGTTAGTACCAGGGGATATAGGTGACATCTCAGGAATTCTTTTCAGCTTGGAAGCCTGGGGATGCTGAACACGCAGTCAAACTCAGCCTCTTTCCTCTTGCTCCCATCTTCAGCCATTTTATTTGCCATTGCTGTGTTTGGACCAGCTTTCGGGTACCTGCTGGGCTCCGTCATGCTGCAGATCTTTGTGGATTTTGGCAGGGTGGATACAGGTATGTGTGCAGAGGACAGACATTCCCATCACCAGTTCTGTGGACCATCTGCCCACCTCCTGTCCAGTCAGGGCAGAGAACGAAGCTCTAATTTTGAGTTCTCATTGCCACCTCCCGATCCTGCTCACTTCCTTACTCCTGCAGTCTTCCAGACAATTAAGCGGACAGTCTGTGCCTCCCCTCACTAGGGCCCAGGCTGGATCCCTTGGGGAATGAACTGATGAAACAAACACACTTCTCACCCTCAGAAGTTTGCAGTGGGGCCAGGCATGGTGGTGCATATCTACAACCCCAGCATCTCAGAAGGCAGAGGCAGAAGGAACTCAAAGTTGGGGCCAGCCAGGGCAAAGTTAATGAGATCCTGTCTCAAAAACCAAATAAAAATAAAAGGATTGGGAGGGGTAACTCAAGTGGTAGAGCACAAGGCCCTGGGTTCAAACCCCAGTATCACACACACAAAAAAAATAGTTAACCCAGGAGCTGGTGGCACATGCCTATAATCTTAGCTACTCAAGGAGCAGAGATCAGGAGGATCATAGTTCAAAGCCAGGTTGGACAAAAAGGCTGGTGGAGTGGTTCAAGGTGTAGGCCCTGAGTTCAAGCCCCAGAATCACAAAAAAAAAAAAAAAGTTCCCTGGATCTTTTATTTTAAGATGTTACTGATCATATTTTTTTTTTTAGATTTAATTAAGGGCTGGAGGCATGGCTCAAGCGGTGAGGCCCTGAGTGCAAACTCCAGTACCAAAAACAAACAAACAAAAAAAGATTTAATCAGAGCTCTTTTGAGGGGAAAAAGCAGCCCTACATAAGAAATGCTTACAGATTGTGCTTCACTTCCAGAAGCGTGGATTAGGGTGTTTAACCACATGGGCGCTGGCACTGGGCTGCATGCATCTAACACCAGATCCATTTCTTAGTAGTCAAGGTATCTTAGCCACTGGACCCCATCTTTCTGGGCTTCCGTTTCATCTATAACATGGGGCCCATGACAGTAAAACAGACTTGCTGTAAGGCTCAGCATAAGCTTGATAAAGAGGTAACAGGTGTGAGTCAGAGTCTTCAAAAGAGGATATGGCTGTGTATCAGGGGCTCCCGCCTGTCATCCTAGAAATTTGAGAGACTGAGATTAGAAGGATCAAGGCTCCAGGCCAGCCCAGGCAAGAAAGTTTGTGAGACCCTATCTCAACAGAAAAAAACTGGATGTGGTGACACATGTCTGTCATCCCACCTATGGCAGAAAGCATAAAATCGAAATATCATCAACCATGGTTCAGGCCAGCCTGGAAAAAAAGCAAGACCCTATTTCCAAAATAACCAGATCAAAAAGGGTTGGAGGTGTAGCTCAAATAGTAGGGTGCCAGCCTAGCAAGTCTGAAGCCCTGAGTTCAAACCCCAGAACCACAAAGACAATAGAAGGGTGGGTGGACTGCCACTGGGTATCTTAGAATGATAAAATGTAGTTCACAGACACAGGCACAAGCACAGAGTTAAGCATTCAGGGATGAGTCCAGCAGGGCCTCTTGCCTTTGTGAGTATGTCCTGCCCCCGCCCCCAGTCTCTCACAAGACAGGGAAGGTCAGCAGCCTAGCAGAGGAATGGGCAAAGTGCTTTGGAAGTTCAAAGGCAAAAGAGAGCCCTCTTGTGCAAGGCAATCAGGCAGGGCCTCCTAGAGAGGTGAGCCATGACAGATGGGTGGAATTTCTACAAGCAGAGATTGAGGGAAGGCCTTACAGGTGGAGGAAACTGCCTGAACACAGCCAAGAGGGTGGAAGGTGTTAGCATGTGGGGGTGCTGTGTGAAGTCCCCAGTGGCCAGAAGATGTGCTAGAAGGCAGGGCTGAGTCAGACCCTCAGGGAGAGTCCAGCACACAGGACAGGGCCCGCCTATCTCACAAAGAATCCGGCAGGTGTTAACCCCAACCATGCTGCCAAAGTTTAATGCTAGATGAGCCACAATGTCACCTGCCTCTACTTCAGATGAAAGTGGCAGATTAGATGTGACAGTGCACACCTCTAATCCCAGCACTCAGGAGGGTGAGGTAGGAAATGGGGAGTTTAAGGCCTGTCTGGGCTACACTGGGAGACACTACTTCAAAGAAAAGAGAAGCAAGAGGTGTGTGTGTGTGGTGTGTGTGTGTGTGTGTGTGTGTGTGTGAGAGAGAGAGAGAGAGAGAGAGAGAGAGAGAGAGAGAGAGAGAGAAAGAGAGAGAGAAGAAAAAGTGGCAAGCCACAGGGAGTATTGTGCCTTGGGATCAAGCCATCTTTGCCTTCTTCCTGGCACTTCTTGAGTTGGTTCCTGGTTCCTATACCAAAAGAGATCAGCAACTGAGCTCCCAGTCCACCCAGACAGTGCCCAGGGGCACCTCTCCCTGCAGTCTGGGGATTTTCTTATGTGCAGCCTCCTGTGCAGTGGTCTCAGGTCTCTAGGAAGATCAGAATGGCCTGGAGAAGGAATTTTGACTTGGCTGAGGTCCTAGCTCATGGATTGCCTTGTCTTCCTGGTGGGAAAACTGTTAACAAAACACCCCCTGATAGTTTCCCTTTCCATGCATTCACTCAGCACCACTTGTATTCTTTGGTTTCTCTTCAGCTACAGTCAACTTGAACCCAGGTGACCCTCGATGGATTGGAGCCTGGTGGCTGGGCCTGCTCATCTCTTCAGTCTTCTTGGTCCTCACCTCTTTCCCCTTTTTTTTCTTTCCTCGAGCAATGCCCAGAGGAGCAGAAGTAAGTTTCTGGGAGCCCATGACTCTACCTATAGGGAAGCATGGGGCTGGAGGTATAGCTCAAGTGGTGGAATGCTTACCTAGCCCTGAGTTCAATCCCCAATATGGAAGGAACAAAGGAAGAAAAGAAGAAAGGGAGGGAGGAAGGGTAAAAGGCTAAGTAGAAAATAAACAGCTGAGAAGCTATAGTAGGTTAAAATTCTGGGTGAAACTAAATCAAGTTCCAGGATGCAGGACTTCTCAGAGACTTTGAGAGGTGAATGTGCTGGTGAATTCCTCAAAGGTGGCACCCCCTCAGTGTTCACTTACCATGTTAGCATCTCAAAGATCAAGAGGGCTCCAGGGAACATTTGAGGAACACTGAGGTCATCTAAATTAGGCTAAAGAGTTAGAGTAAAAAAAAAAAAAACTGGGCAGGTGACCTGGCATGGTCAACTTTTGCATTTAATAGGGCCTTTGAGGTCTGTGCCTAAAGGATAGAGTGCGTAGGGATGTGTGAGGATGGGCTGAGAGTGGAGCATGTCGCCAGCAGGGTGACTTTCCATGCATGGTCCAGTCATACCTGCTGAGAAATAGAGCTTGATGGTTGGAAGTGGGTTGTATGAAATCTAAGCCTAGCTATGGGAAGAGGGCCAGGGGTAGAGGGCCTTGGTTTGTCCTGGGGAAGAATTTCTGAGGTTGGCAGCATGTCCTGGTGGTTTGGGGTTGGGTAGACCTGGATTTGAATACCACATTGCTCCTTATAAACTAGCTGAGTGATCTTATGCAAGATGCTTTGTTCCTAACTTCCTTTTCTTTAAAATACTCGAGATAATTAGAGTATCCGGGAAGGAAGTAGTGAGGGGTGAGACAGTGTGTGTGGAACTCTGGGAACCATGCCCAGAGTGGACTCTGAATGGGAGTGCCTATTCCTGGTGCAGAGTTCTCTGGAGAATCCTAACGGTGGCAGAGCTCAGGGCCCCACGTCACTGTGATGGTTTAAAGCACAGGCCTCTGGCTATAGTCTGTTCAGAGAGGTAGGTAAGGTCACTGAGGTAGTATGCCCAGAAGGTGCAAGCAAAGGGCTAGGACTCACCTTTGAACCCAGGGGGAAGCAGAGACATCAGAGAAGACACAGAAAGGGAAAGCTGAAAATAGGGGGTGTTCTAGACCCCAGAAACCCTGGAATGAGAGGACAGTGAAGTGTAGCCATGACAGGCAGACAAGGGGTGGGATCTAGGAAGACACAGTTGGCATTAGTCATGGGAAAGTTAGATATGAAATAATATGCCCCTAGGTATCATGGGAGGCATTGGGACAGATGCATTCTGGTCTGCCGCCAAGAAGTACAGGTGGTGTTTGCTTCAAGAGTGCATTCTCTCAATGCTCTCCCAATCACACACACCACTCTGGGGATCAAGGGCCCAGGGGAGGACCACTAACACTCACCCCTTTTGCTGCCTTCAGAGGTCTCCTGCCATAGTGGACGAGGCAAGGAAGATGGAGGAGGTCAAGTCAAGAGGCTCCCTAATGGATTTCATTAAACGTAACTGACTGACTCAAGCAGCCCTGGGGGCTGGCTCTGGGTGGGTGTGATCAGGTGTGCAGTAAGGTTCAATCAGAACAGGTGGCCTGTAAATGGCTCTCCTCCATGGTGCACCTGCAGCTCAAAAGAGCTTCTGCCAAGGATCCTGGGGACTGCTTTACAGGTACCAACAGACCTAGTTTAGGTGGAGTCAGTCCTCACTCTACCCTGGGGTTTGGCTCCCACTTCTCCCTCCTCCAATCATATGGAAGTGGCACTCATGGGAGTTTCCACTGTTAGTTGTATTTCTATCTGCCCACCACCATATTTTTTAGGTGCATCCTCATTTTAGTCAGTCCATGAGCACAGGGGAGTCCCAGTGGCTGTAGTCCCCTAGACTGGCTGCTTTGTATTTTGGTGCCCTGGATTCTGCCCTGAGGAAGAGATCAGAGTTGTCTGGAGGGAAGAGGCATAGGGGTGGCCAGACTTGAGGTAGTCTTGTGATACTCCCACCAAGGCCTGGTCCCTGATAGCAGTTTGCTTGCAGGCTTCCCTCACATCTTCCTGAGGCTCCTGATGAACCCGCTTTTCATGCTGGTGGTCTTGGCCCAGTGCAACTTCTCTTCTGTCATAGCCGGCCTCTCCACCTTCCTCAACAAGTTCCTGGAGAAGCAGTATGGCGCCTCAGCAGCCTATGCCAACTTCCTCATCGGTACATCCAGAGGGCGCTGTAGGAACTGGGCGGCTCTACCTGAGGGAGGAGCCGGGCACTCTGCCGGCCATCCAGGGACAGCCAAAGTCCAGACCGGACACAGACAGGAGACAGGAGGGCTTGCCCAAGAGAAAGAATTTTAAGGATATTTTTCCTGGTTGGCAATCTAGAATGTTCTTGGCAGGTTTCTGGGGCCTCCTATTCTTCCATTCAGGAGTGGGTGGAGGCTGGGGCTGCCTTCCTCCCCATCAAGGGGCTGGAAGTCTGACAGCCTTCTAGCTGACATCATCAGGGCAACTGAGGGGAGAGAGAAGATGGAATTGGGGGGTAGGCAAAACACCCCCTGGGGTTTTTCCTCATCTCCAGGAATTTGAATACATTTGTTTGATTAGAGAGAATGAGGCCAGTGACTATCTACTCCAGTGCCTTTCAGGCCCCTCTGGAGATCTTTACAAAATGCCCTGCTCAGGTCAATGAACCCAGAATCTACACAGGGCTGGGAGAGGGGTGGGAGCAGCATCTGTACTTTTAGCAGCTGAAGTTGAAAACCACTGACATGATCCCACCAAGTGCCTAAGTGAATGACTGGGCCCCATCCACAGGTGAAGTTGACCAGATGGATTTAGCAAGGTGGTCAGGGCATGAAGGTGACTCCCCTGTACCCCCTGACCTCTTTTGTGGCCCTGGGCTATGGGCTCCCCTCTGGCCGTCAGTCTCTGACTGACAGATCACTCTCGCCCTGCAAACCACATGTGCTCACAGTGAGGATGCAGTGAAGATCCAGGAAATGAAAGGTGCTTAATCAATGCACATTCAACCCACAACCCTTGAGTGCAAGGACACTACTTTATTCTTTGCACAGGCAAGGCAATCCTCTAAGTAAAGATAACTCTTGAGACATGCAATAAATGCTCAATTAATGTCAGCAATTACTATTATGATTTAACATATCCAGGGTTCCTTCATGATGCTATGTTCCCTTCTTGGTGGTCCAGCTCAGTGCACTCAAACCGGTTCCTTCTCACTATCCATAGGTGCTGTAAACCTCCCTTTTGCGGCCTTGGGGATGCTGTTTGGAGGAATCCTCATGAAGCGTTTTGCCTTGCCACTGCAGACCATCCCCCGCGTGGCTGCCATCATCATCACCATCTCCACTATCCTCTGTATCCCTCTCTTCTTCATGGGATGTTCCACCCCACCCGTGGCTGAGGTCTACCCTCCCAGGTAATGGGAATAATGGGTGTGGAGACCGTCTCCCCTCCCCTCTTCACTTGGATCTGATATTTCACATGGCAACATAGAAAAATAAGGTCTTAACTCATATATTCCATTATGAGAGAAGTTTGGAGTGGGCTAGAGGGTTACCAGCAATCAGAGTTAGGGTTCTGTTGTTTCAGAAGCACACAAAACTAATCAGTTTGGTTTTGGGGTGAACCTGAGCCTCAGGAACCAGGAAGTAAGCTATGTTTAGCATCAGCCCCAGGCCAGCTTGAATTACCAGGTCACTGAGCCACTGAAGAAAGACAAGGAGATTTGAAACGGCCTGGAGAAAAACAATGAGTGATGGCAGACGTGAAAAATCAGGGCAGGTGAGAAGGAGGGCAGATGAAGTCTGCCTTTTGGTTTGCAAAAAGCAAAGGGCTTTTGAACCCTGCAAGGGCAAGGATGCTGTTCATTTTTTCCTGGGCACCACCTTGCAACAGGCTTTGCTTTTGAACTTGGCCTAATGAGGTTGCAAGATTCGGAGATGCTGTGTCTTTCAGCCTTTCTCTCTGAAATAACCTCTTCTGTGTTTGATGGGTAAAGGAGAGGAGTGGTACAAGGGAAGCGAGGGCTCTCAGGTTGGGCAGTGCAGGTTGACTGACTCAAGAAAAGGTCTAGAAGCATTTTGGTGGCTTTCACAGGGAGTTCAGCTCATGACTTCATTATCAGACTGACTTGAGATCTGGTTGTGTGGCTCTTTACTACGTGGGGGATAGTTACTTACCTAATATTCAGTTTTCTCATCCATAGAAGGTGAATAATTAATTGTAAACTTACAATAAAAAGTCCCTGGATATTGTGCCCCTGCACATGAGCTGTCCCATAAATGGTAATGACCATCAGTGGTGTGAATTTAAGCAAAGCTCTAGACTGTGCTTTGTCAACCCCTGTTGCAAACTTCCCTAAAGAAGATCAGTAAGATTGGCCAGTGAAATCCACTTGGTTGAGGTTCATAGGGGGTGGAGTGACTGGAACAAATCCTACACTGACCCAGGGAACAGGAAGCCAATGAGAACCCCAATTACTTCAAGGGGTCCCAGCTTCTGCCTTCAGCCTGAGCCCAGCTGAAAGAGGAGGGAAGGCAAACATTGCTTGCAGCTTCCCTGGTTCATTCACTGATTCCCTCATCAAAGTCTTGGTCAGTTGGTTGTCTTGACTCTTAGTATGGCAAGAGATTCATCACTAACCAGGTCTTTCCAGCTGACTAATTGGTACACTTTGGCTCCAAGTGTCAGAAGAAATGGAGAGGACCATGTTGCCCGAACAGTGGCAGATCCATTGGTGGCTCACCTAAGCACAATTCAGATCCCAAGGTGGCACTGGCCCAAGTCAAACAGAGACACACAGGCACGTTAACTAGGCCAGGAACTTACACTGGACTAGAGTGTGGAGTTGTTTCTTGGTCTTGCTTTGTTTGACTCCTCGCTTCCTGTTTTGCTGGCAGCACATCAAGTTCTATACATCCTCAGCCTCCTGCCTGCCGGAGGGATTGCTCGTGCCCGGATTCTGTCTTCCACCCTGTCTGCGGGGACAATGGAGTCGAATACCTCTCCCCTTGCCACGCTGGCTGTAGCAATGTCAACATGAGCTCTATAGCCACCAAGCAAGTGGTAAGGGCAGCTGGGGTTCCAGGGACAGGAGGGGGTCTGTGTGACCTTGGAGCTCAATGTCACCTTCACATACAACTCCTTGGCCTCCTCTGGGCCCCACCCGTGCTCTCTCCACCTCCCTTGCCCCAGGATCATGACCAGAAGCCTGCAGCCCAAGATTGGCCTGTGTCCAACAAGTTCATTCTGAAAGCTTAACAATGCTCACAGCAGAAACAAGCCAAGCACTGCATCCCAACTGGTCCTACAAGGCACCTCTGGGTCCTGCATTCTGGCAGCTTGCAGAGTCACGTAGACCAGTCCAAATAAATTGAGGGCAGCCAGCCTCTGTGAGATGGAATGGACAGTCAGAGTTGGGAGCAGTAGTCAAGGGCGTTTTCTTCAACTGTCAGCTCCCAGAGGTACCACACAATGGCTTGGGAGTCGTGCAGCTATTTCGGTGAAGATCTGGGACACTTGTGTTCAAGGCCATGTGTCTGCTAGCCTCCCACGGGGGCAGCCTACATTCACTGTACTCACATGGTGAGGCCCTATCTATCCCTCTGGGAGCACTGTGGCTCCAGACCTTCTGGTGTCAGCAAACTCAAGTCATTTGTTTAGTTAGTTAATTGAGAACACTGGGCACAGCCGTAGTGCAGAGGAAGTGGAGCCTTCAAAGTTCTAATCTCACATGGTTTGCATTCTATCCAGTAAGTACACAGATAGATGCCAGAGAGAGACTTAATGGGCCTCCCTGAGGAGGTGACATTAGAACAGAACCAGCAGCAGAAGCAAACCCATGAAGAGCTGGGAGCAAAGCATTGCAAGTAAAGGAAATGTCCAGTGCAAGACCTGGGGCATGAATGCCCTGGACGAACTATAGGAGGAAAGAGAAAAGGCAGGTGGGTCCTGAGTGAGGTGTGTCCCACCCAGCAAGGCCAGGCAGTGGGCAGGGGCGAGAGCACACAGGCCAGACTTAGGAGTTAGGGGCTCTTTGTTTTGAGAGCAATGTAATGTCTATGCTTTGCTACCAGAAGATGCACTGCAGAGAGAAATGTACCTGACCCCTAAAATTGCATGGGCCAAGCTACAGCCTGCTTATACCCTGCTTTTGGGTTGGGGGAGAGGACAAGGCTGCTTCCCCAGCTCCCTGTGGGAAAAGAGTTTGGCAAGGAATTTGGACAAGAGGCTTCCTTAGCTACTTTCTAACTGGCAGAGTCTGCGGTGGCTTCTGTGGTTTTCTTATCTTATTTACTTACCTCTGATTCATCTACTTCCAGAAATAATCTTGACAAGCTTCCAATAATAGCATATGTACATCAAGATAAAAATCTATTACTAAAATATCAAGGACAAAGTAGTAAATTATAAGGGGAAAAAATCCCTATATGTTAAAAATCCAGACAGCAGTACTGTATGCAATGTATTTCTGAGTTTCCTAGGAGCCAAGGTCAAAAGGGTGTATCCCTTTCTACCACTTTTTTCTTTCCACTGTCTGGCACAAGTAAGGGTACCAGCTCATTAGTTCCAGTGTTGGAATAGTTCTAACTCTTCCATTGTCATAGGCTGGGCCATCAGAGACTCCAGGGAAGTGTGTGAAGATCACCAGATGAGCCATGGCCACCAAAGTGAGGTGTACATCAGAACTGAGCCACATAAACTCCATCCGTGAGATAGGACTCCTCTGAATCCTTTATAGAGTAATCTCTCCCAGGCAGGACACTTCTGCAGAGACTGACAGATGCAACACTTGGGTGATTCCCTTGTGCTCCCTCTGTTCTGCTGTCTACACATTTGCATCATCCCTACAATGAACACACAGACAGTACAGACAACAACCAACAACTGGTACAGCCACCACAGCTGGCCAGCCCAAAGGCGAGCCCTCCCAGACCCCACGCTCCAAGCTGAGGGGACCATGCTAGTGGTGGGATAGTGAGCATTCAAAAGTGGGTGTGACTGTGGGAGCCCAGCCCACACTGGACTGGGACAACTTGGAAACCCTCCCCTGGTTCCTCTCTCTTTTTTTTAAATGATACTATAGTTTGAACTCAGGACTTTATGCTTACTAAGCAAGTGTTCCACTATGTGAGCGACACCCACGGTTCTTTTGCTTTAGTTATTTTTCATATAAGATCTTGAGTTTTTGCATCAGCCTGTCTCAGACTGTGATCCTCCTACCTCTGCTTCCTGAGTAAGTAGGATTACAGGCATGCACCACCATGCCTGCCTTGTTCTTTTCTTTTGTTTTGTTTTTGAGATAGAATCTTGCTAATTTTTTTTGTTTGCCTGAACTGGCCTTGAACTGCAATCCTCTTATCTCTGCGTCTTGGGTGGCTGGGGTAGCAGGCATGCACCACCATGCCTAGCATCCTTGGTCTCCATCTCCTCTTCAGTCTCCATCCAGGCTCTCTCATTCCCTGGGACTCAGAGGGTAGAGGATTAAAACTTGATGGACTCTGGCAAGAGCTGGTGCAGATGTTTGAAGTGTGCAGAGCTGAAACCATGACAGTGGTTCTCCTCCCACCCCTCTTGCCCTCTCTTTCCTCTTAAAGATCTATTTGAACTGCAGCTGTGTGACTGGGGGAGCTGCTTCAGCGAAGACAGGGTCGTGCCCCATTCCCTGTGCCCACTTCCTGCTCCCGTCCATCTTCCTCATCTCCTTTGTGGCGCTGATAGCTTGCATCTCCCACAACCCGCTCTACATGATGGTTCTACGGTGAGTGGCACTTCTCGGGGACCAGGGCTGGGCTTCTGTTTCCCCACACTTCTCTTTGACATTACACCCTAATGCCCCCTTCTCTTTTCTCCGCCCTTTCCTGGTCTTCAAAGTCCCTTAAACAACAACATGCAAGTGGTTCCTTTGGTGATAAAAGAGCACAGGCCCCATGCTGAGCTCCTCATGGCGTGTCCTTGCTCAGTCCCCAACACCTGTGTGACTCTGTGTCTTCTGCTACCTCCTTTCTGTACATTGAAGGTCAAACCCGTCCAGAAGGGCAGAGCCCAAGGGGAGCCACACCTCAACAGCAGGCTGCCTGGGTCCATGTTGTAGATACACCTGTAGATGCCCTTGATTTTTTTTTTTTTCTTCTTTTTTTGGGACAGCACTGGGGTTTGAACTCAAGACCTCACCCTTGCTAGGCAGGAGCTCTTAACACTTCAGCCACTCTGCCAGCCCATGTTGTTTTTAAATTCTAAAAGAACAGAGAGGAAGGAAGAGAATTCAAGGCAGAAAACTGAGGAAAGTTCCAGAAATAGAGTGAGGGCTATGGAAAAGGCCCAAAATGAGAAAATCCCAGGATGTTGGGAACCAGGACCTAGTGTTCCAGTCAGAAGGGACAGGCTGGCCAGATTGGGGGACCAGGAGTCAGGGAAGGAATTCTGGCTGTCAAGTGTCCCTGAGGTTTTCATAGGGAGGGTCCCTTCACCTCAGTCTCCAAAGAACAGTGCCTGTCACCTTGCTTCCTCCCTCCTGTCCTTCCCGTCTCATGCACAGAGAGGGAGATACACAGGATTTTGAACCCCAGGGTCAGGTTCAAAGTCCCTGCTCTGCCTCATACTCGCTGAGGGCCCTTGGGTGCTGCCTACCGTCACTAAACCTCAGTTTCATCATTTATGAGGTGAAGATAATGATACTGACCTCAGAGAGTTAGCATCAGGTCAGTTGCTTTGCAAATATAAAATGTCCTACTTATTAGTTAATTATTACTATTGAACAAATTATAATAAATTGCTAGCAAGATTTCTAGCACCAGTTTCCCTCAGAAGGCTAGGAGACAAGGAAGGAGCAGAACTAAGACTGTAACTCAGTGGCAGAGTATTTGCTTAGTGTAAGTCTGTGAGTTCGATTCCCAGCACCACACAAAGCAGCAGCTATTTGTGGACACTGGGGTTTTTTCCTATTTCAAGTTCGCCCCCAAGTTGGCACCCAAGTTGTTGTCACCATTTCTGTTTGGAGGATGCTGGCAGAAGATAGGAACATCCTGGGTCAAAGACCAAAGATTTCATTGCAGCACAGAAAACAGAATAACCTCCATGTTGTTTATCTATTCCTCAACCCCCAAGTCCCACAGAAATGACAAGGACAGGCCCAGGAGTGTGCTTTGCAGGCAGTAAGTTTATGTCACAACAAGGAACCCTTGTTGTGGGCAGTGAACAAGCTGTTCTTGTTCTAGACTCCAACTCATGCCTCAAAGCTGCTTGTTGCAACCCTGAGAAATGGCCCAGGAGCTGATGTTGGGGACCATGCATCCTTAGCACACTCAGCAAGAATGCATAAGGACGCTCAGAGCCCATGGCAGGTGGCCTTCCCCAGCACCACTGCCACCCTCTTCTCTACTGCTACCCATCCTACCCAAGAACTGGACTTTTCACCTAGAGCACTTCATGGGGTTCTCTTCTTGCACTCTAGACCAGATAGTGCATGGTGGACCCTGTGACTCAGCGATAGATGTACATGAGGCCATGAAGAGGAAGGGAGACGGGGAGAGAGGGGGACTCTCATCCAGAGTCCCTAAGCAACAGGGAAAGAAGGCAATCCCTATTAGATTGCCTCCCTGAGGATTTCTGTCACACCCCAGCCATGAGAGATTGTGGAAAACAGAGCATTATTTCAACCACAGGATGGGATTTTCTAGAAAATTTCTCCTTTCCAAGACTGGTCAGGGTCTAGGATGAAACTGGAGAGGAGACCCAGGATCCCAAGATGGTTTAAAAGCTAAATTGTAGTAGGAAAGAAGACAGAATAGGCCTTCTTACTGCAAGGAAGAGGAGGCTACAGTAAGTTGGTCGGTACCCCAGGCAGTATTTCTATTAGTCCTGGCCCCAAGCAGGCATGGGAGCAAAGGCCAGCTGAAAACGTGAAGGGAGAGAGAGTGGCCATAACCCCGCACTAACTCAGGGCCAAGTGGGGGCAGAGACCAGAATGGGCCTAAGATCTCAGTCAAATGCCTAAGTGTCACCTTAGCTGAGAATCTGGAGGGAAAGGAGGGCACCCATTATGGATGGGGCCATTGGGGCATCTGTGGGCAGAAAGGGAGCATCCATTCCATCAGGATTCGAAGCCCTGAGGAATCCCAGCTGGTGCGCTTTTCCCCTGTCTACAATCCAATGCGTAGTTCCCTCACTGGGCCATCCTCCAGGGGGTCTGGAAGAAGATTCTTCTCCCATTTGCTAGCAGGACTTTGGTAGTGGGGGTGAAACACATTGTGTGTAGAGATCTGCAGATTGCTTCTGCACTCCCTCACTGTCCCCAGACGATCATCCACCCAGGATTGTGTGTGCTAAGAGCAGAGAGGTCAAGACAGGTGCCTCTGCAGGCCAGATCCCGGCTCCTCACCTTGTATGTGAGGTGTCCTCCTCCTGGCTCCACTCTGCAGCTGGGATGGCAGGGCATCCACCTTTCTCTGAACCTCCTCCCTCAGCCAAAACACACTTTTCCCTCTTGAAGGAGGAATCATAGGAACAGGACCAGCAATATTAACTGCAGGACCTGGGGCAAAAATTATTAAGAATTTCAACTCAGCCACAGCAGAGTATCAAACCACACATGGGCTTTCTGAAGGTGGAGTCCTGCACAGCTGCTCAGGTCATGTGCCCACAAAGCTGGCCCAGGGCAAGAAATTCTTTCAGTTGTGCACAGAAGCCAGCAGCCCAGAGGCCCTAATTACAGCAGAGCTGTCTTTTCCTGCTACAAGACACTGTGTGGGAATTGTTCGGACCTGCTGCTATAAACACCCCGCCAGCAATCCTTCTCTCCTCGTCCTTTCTCTTCTATCCTCTTTCTCTTGAAGTGGGCTGTGCACAGTCCTGAAAGCCATATAGAGCAGTGATTCTTCAACTTGAGCTTGCTTCAGAATCTGTGTCTCCTGTGGAAACACAGATCACTAGGCCCCACCCCCTGAGTTTCTGTCTATTCTCAACAAATCCACACACTAGATAGACATAGGGCCTGAGACTCTGCATTCCTAACAAGCACCCAAGAACTGCCACTGATCCCAGGGACCGTGCTCTGAGAACCATGGACACAACAGGAGCATCCAGCCGGTCAGGCCACATGAGGGTTCTGACCTACTCTGAGTCTCGCTGGCCCCTGACCAGGCCATGGTACAGCCCTGTGTCCCCGACTTGAGTTCCTGTTTTCCTTTGCAGCGTGGTGAACCAAGATGAAAAGTCATTTGCCATCGGGGTACAGTTTTTACTGATGCGCTTGCTGGGTAAGTGACTAAGAGCCCCGCTCTGAAGTAGTGACCCTGGACCATATGTGCAGGATTATGGGGAGCAGACAGGGCTGGGGGAAGCCCCATCTCATTTCCCCTGCATGGACAGGCCAAACTCCATGAATGATATCTCTGATTGCTTGAAGTTAGGAACAGGTTCCTTCTGTGGTATTAATTCCAAACCACAATATGCAAGAAGGATGAAAAGTAGACACAGCTGGTTGTACTAAAGAGTTAAAAGCAGGTATTTTTTAATCTGTCTCCAAGAATTCACCGTAGGAACAAAACCTTGCATTCCTGCCCCAGACAGACGAGCAGCCCAGCTCAGCCCTGGCTTCTTTCCCATTTTGCAAAATTTATTCCCCCTATCGCTGTTCAGGGAATGTTTCTTCTGTGCGGGGTCCTCTGCCTGTGAATCCAGCCTGTCCTGAAACAGCTGAGGGCCCCCTGGAAGAATCAAGCTAGGCACAAATGGTCAGCAGTGTCCCACAGGGATGGAGAGCTGCCCATGGGAGCAGAAGGCACCCATTCTCCCTGGTGCATGGATTTTGGGGTGGGGGCACATGCAAGCCTTTCCTCAAACAGCTCATGCAAGGCTGCTCCTTCTTGACACATTCATGTACTATATTTAATACACAGTATTAACAATGGAGACCCTTGCAAAGACAGGTAAACAGAAGCAAAGGGACTGAATTCAACTGAGGACTTAGTGTGTGTGAGCTTTAGTGGGCAGTGTGGCAATTTCAGGGAGAGGGACATTGGTTCCTATCAAGGTGTACTTTTCAACTTTAAATCCCTGAAGAGTTGAAACTGGAGTTTTAAGCCAACTAAGGGGATACCACTTGTTAAGTCTTGCCACTTGCCCCAATTAACCCAAATAAAGAGATGAATAATGGTGAAGGTCAGAGAAAGGAGATTTAATTACTGTAACACGGACACGCTGCTACAGGAGCATTTCAGAGGAAGAGCGGGACAGGGAAGAGATGTCTGCATACTTGTCAAACAGTCTTAGTGACAGGTGTGTTCTGGTGGTCATAGGAGGTCATGGTTATAAGTAATCAGTTACTCATTATCTCAGGATTGGCCAGGCAGGACCTTGTTACAGAAGAGAAAGTCATTGAAGTCTGCCAGGGGAATAGCTTTGTTTCCTGTCCTGTGGAGGTTCTGCTGATCTTTCCTTGGTGTTTCCATTGTAAAGATGTTATCCATCCTTCCTGTCCTGTCCTTCCTGGAAACCAGGAAAAAACCAGAAGAGAGAGAGAGAGACTCAGAGTAAAGGAGGCACGTACATAAATGGAGGCAGAGATGCCAAGGAACCAGTGCTTTTCAGCAAAAGCACCTGTTACAGAGTTTGTTCTGCCTAATTACCAGGGGTCTAGTCATAGTGGCACCTTCCCCTGCATTGGCTTTCATCGTCCTTTCATGGTGTACTGATGATGTCTTTCCTTGAGATAGCTGGAGCTGGAGCCTTTGCAGGGCCCAATCCAACCAGACGAGGAGTGAGCCAGGTTTTTTTTTGTTTTTTTTTTCATTAGTTTCTTGACCTCAGGCCACTTGCTGCTTGTATCCTGGTTAAGTACCTTTGAGTCTTTTTACACCCTGACTCTTTAGCCTATATTATAAACACAGAGGAAACAGAGCACCTGTCCTGGCAGAAGCTCTGGTGTCGTCATAGCTCCTTGTTTTCATTAGTTAATCATCTATAACTCAATTATATCTTGCTCTAATGCCTCTTCTGGGAAGGACAGCTTGCATTCCTCTCAGCAGCTAAGGACAGGCTCCAAAGAGCCCTGCCCTGCTTTTTTTCAGTGATCTTGAAAATAACCACTCTGGCTGCATGTGGTGGTGCACATCTGTAATCCCAGCTCTAAGGGAAGCATAGATAGGAGAATTAAGATCCAACGTTGGTCCCAGGCAAAAATTCGAGACTGTATCTGAAAAATAACTAAAACCAAAAAGGGCTGGGGTGTGGCTTAAGTGGTAGACTGCCTTCCCAGCAAAGCCTGAGGTCCTGATTCAAACCCCAGTACCTCAAAAAAAAAAAAAAATTGACCGCTCTTTCACTGTTCAAAACACCTGCTGCTTTGATTTTCCATTTAAACAATGTGTGAGCACGATTAGCAAACCCAGGCCAGAGGGATTCCACTTATCACTGAAGAACCCAGTTCCACTCTGGGGTACAGAAAAAGATTTCCTATTGAGAAACTCCAGTTGGTTTACAATTACCTACTGGGATTTAGTTGAAAAGTTTCCTGGACTTGTTCCTATTCGGGAAGCATCACTGGATGTCAATCCCTCTGGACAGTTTCTGTCCCCTGTTCACCTGGAGACTGGGGAGTAATCAGAGGCCTTTGGAAGTTTCTCACTCATGGATGGAGCCACAAGTACTGTTTTGCCTCTTCCTTCCCTCCAGAAGCAGGGCCCTGAGAGTCTAGGAGGCACCATGGTTCTGAGATGGGATGGCCCATCCTCAGTTTACATCCTGGACAAAAGTCTCCCTGGCCCAGTGGCTACCTAGAACTTCTCTAATGACTCAGAGCGTGGGGTGGGAGGGAAACCTTTAGAATATTCATCAGGCAGTAAGGCATTGCAACTGCTGGGCCAGGCCTACCACTCAGCTGCTGGGAGGTTAGGGGGTTGGGTCCCGGCTACAAGCAACCAGGTTTTAGGTGGCTTCAGGCGGTGTTGTCTAATACAGTGGGAGGCGGTCTGGAGTGGTGGAAGAATGAGGAGTCTGAAAGTCACTCAGTAAACCATGGTTCACTGTCCAGCCCTGAGCCCTCTTGACTATGTAGGCGAGCTGGCCAGTGTCATTTCTCTGGTTACTCTGAGGACCTGTGATATTGTTGCCCTCAAGAGCCAATCTCCACTTGGGACCGACCTGGAATATGAGAAATACTCTGTATGTCGGAGTTGGCATCCATGTGACTCTGTGACTCATTCTGCACTGAAAGGATGGCCCAGGTCCCTTTATCTCCTAAGCCTCCTGGTGAAAGGGAAATTCAGGCCTCACTGACAGCTTTCTGTTTTCCCAAGTCACTGTGACTCTGAGGGTGGGGCAGAGGCGTTCTCACATGTGGGAATCGTGCAAGGCGGGGACAGGGCTTGGCTCCCCACCTCTGCCAGGCTCCTCTGCCTGCAGCTCCGTGTGACCTTGGCTCTCTGAACTCTCTTCCCTGCTGCTGCCAGCCTGGCTGCCGGCTCCAGCCCTGTACGGACTCACCATTGACTACTCCTGCATCCGGTGGAACAAGCATTGCTCAGGGAGGCAAGGGGCCTGTGCCTACTATGACAGTGACGCTCTCCGGGACAGGTGAGGGCCCCACCGGAAGCGTGGGATCCCAGCAAAGAGTGGTTGTTTGCCTGGTGGCTGTGGAAGGGGCTATCAGGCCTAAGGGGCCATGGACAGGGAGCAGGGGCCACCATGACAGGCATATCAGGGGCTACCAGGAGCCATCCGGGAAACAAGACCCAGGGTCCGCACTGAGGTAGGCCCCTGGCATGCTGCCCCTACAGGCCCACAGGAGGGGCAGCAGCAGAACGAACTTTGCCAATGGGAAAGGGGTGGCTGGAGTCTTAAGGTAGAGGCTGTAGCTGTGGAAAGATGTCAAGCCTGTCTCCCACTGCCCTACCATGACACCAGGCAAAGGAACAGAACAGGGGAGTTCAGCCTGCCTCTGAAGCCATTTGTGTGTCACAGAGTTTTGCCCCCTCCAGCCACCTCACCTTGCCCTTATTATACCATTCAGAAAGATGGGCGGGGGCCGGAAACAGTGTGGGCAGGTAGGGAGGGCAGGAGAGGACAGCAAGAGGGAAGCCTCTGGAGGGCTGAGGCTCTCTGAAGTCCTGGCCACTTCCCAGGAGGTATATATGCTTTTGAGTCAAAAGAACGAAGAAAGTGACTTCGACCTGGGTGGTGACAGATTTTCTGAGTGGTGAGCCACGCACTCCCTGGGCCACTGTGAGAATGACATTCTTTTTCCTGGTGGCCCTAGACCTGCAGCGTCCCCCACCTCACCATTCTGTTCTCTTCCTGCCCCCCAGGTACCTGGGCCTGCAGGAGGGCTACAAGATCCTAGGCACACTGCTGCTCTTCTTCGTCGGCTGGAGGGTGAAGAAGAACAGGGAGTACAACGTGCAGGAGAAGACTGCAGGCCTCATCTGACCCTTGACCGGACCACCGCCCTGCCTCTGCCACACCTACCTGTATTTACTAATGTTAACACGGCTTTTCCTTTCTGGTTTTTTTTTTTTTTTAAATAAGAAAGAAAACCCCAGTCACCATTTGCCTTTCTGGCCTCCTCCTCCTCCTCCTCCTCCTCCTCCTTTTCTTCCTCCTCCTCTTCCTCCTCCTCCTCCCACAGCCTCCCTCATGGTTTCTGAAGGCCAAAGAATACCAGGGCTGGGAAGGCCCAGAGTTGGACAGTTGGGTCTTCCCTGGCTCCTTGGAAGGGATCCTCACATGCCTCTGCTCTTCTCAATACTGGGTCCTCAAACAAGAATGTCCACTGAGGCAGCCCCTGCCTCTTACCAGCCCTGTGGGGGTACCCAAGTGAAGTGAGAAAAGGGAGGTACATCATCCTTGCCAGGTGACCCAGCTCTCCTCTGTCTGCCCACACCGGAAGAGAAGGGGTGTGAGGGGAAGAAGAGGGTGCACTAGAGGAGAGGGAAGTTTGCTGCAGCTCTGTTTGCCTCTGGATTCACCACAGCAAGAAACCCAAAAGGGTTCCTTGGGTTCACCCTCAGATCCTCACTTCCTGCTTCCGGAGGCCCATCTGGAGCTGCCATACTGGGAAGATCAGCTCTCTCCATAACCCAGTCTCTGGCACTAGAGCCAGAACTACGAAGCCTAAGGACGGGTTATCCCAACACTGCCCAGGTGAACCCAAGACCTCTCTGCTCTTGGATTTTCATGTGTTTATCTCTGCCTTTCTGGGGTTATATTTCAATCTGAGAAAACTATACAGAGTGAAGACCCAAGGAGGGCCTGTGAAGTGTCCTAATGCCCAGTCCTCCACCCTCACATTGGGGACAACACCCCCTCATCTCAGAGTCATGGGGAAGGCCCTCCCCACCTTTTCCTGGGAGGACATAAGATGGACTTCTCTGGCTGGACTTCAGCCTGTGTACAGGGGAATAAAGGAAGACACTCTGAGATGCCAGTCCGGCAAGTGATGAAACAGAGTGGATGTTACCTGTCACCACACTGGGTGTCACCAGCCAGGTTGACTGTCCTACTTTCAAACAAGCTTGTGTTCATCAATATTGTCTCAGCCTCTTGTCACTACCTCCAGGGAGGTGAGTGGCCTCTGTGAGTCTGGGCTGGGAGACATGGCTGCTATGTGACAGGTTCAGAGGTGGAAGCCCTAGAAGGAGACCTTTCACCAACAATGGTTCTGTTTACTGGAGGCTGACTTTGTGCTCTGCAGTGCTAGTACGTGGTTCTTGCAAAGAGCTTCTCTCCGATCTTACCTCGCCTCCCTCTAGTTACACTAAGTCTTCTCCCACAATGTGCTTGGTGGGCAGGGTGGACAGTCCATGTCAGGAGAACACCCATCACATGCTTGTCAAGCACAGCAAGTACCCAAAGATTAACAAAAAGGATCCTGACTATGCCATCCGTGGCCCCACCAAACTGACTCTTGGTGAGACAGAGCTCTGGCTCACCATGTCCTGTGGACCAGCTGGACACTGGTCATTGCCATGTGTGACCCTGAGTGCCACACCTCTGGGAAGACCCATTCCAGGAGCCTAGTAGAAGCCACTTCTGGAAAGGTCTCAAATGGTAGAAGCCAAAATGTCTGTCAGTGGTCAAGCTGCTGTGAGACTGAAATCTTTTGAAAGCCATGATCACAGACAAAGTCACCAGCCTTATTTCCACAGATCTCACTCAGGAAGGGAGACTCCATGCAATCTCAGGACCAGTTTCAGCATTTGCAATGGTTCTGCTTGGAAAATTAATTCCTGCGACTAACCCTGGTCTTTCTTGCTGCAATTTAACCAAAATTCTGAAGGTTCTGCCTTCGGTTATCCCTGTGAACATTGAATGCCGACCTTCAGGTTCTGGAAGATTGGCTGCCCTCCCAAACCTTTATTCTATTATATTGCTATTAATATATTATAATTTTGCTATTGATGTAACTTGGTCATGAATTTGTGCTGTTATGTATGGCTATCAGAGAGCAGACAGAGCCTGCACCTTCTAGACAGAAAGTACCCATTGCCACAGCCCTCAGAGGCCATGGTCAAGGGCATTACAGGTAGTGCAATTGTCAACTCATCAACCTGCAAGACAGCAGACACCAGGCACTTCTTGTTCACTTAGTGAATTTCTCCAGGTCGCTATCAAAGGCACATGGGGCTTGTCCTCTGCCTTTGAGTTTATGTCCAGTGCTATTGGACATGCACAGTTATGTCCACAACACAAAACAATATCATAGTCATACCTAATCACTTAGTACTGCTCAGTCAATCTTTCCTCTCAAATGCCAGCAGGGGACATAATGGCATCACTTTCATTTCAATTCCAGAGCAAAGCTCAACAAACTTCTTGAAGAAGTTTGATGCTGTAGAAAGTGCTGTTAAAATGGTGATTCCAAGCCAGGCACTAGTGGCTCACACCTGTAATCTTAGCTCCTCAGGAGGCAGACACTGGGAGGATTGTAGCCCAGGGAAAATATTCGTAAGACTCCATGAACAGAAAAAGCTGGGTGTGGCTCAAGCCCTAGGGACTGCCTAGTAAGTCCCAAGCCCTGAGTTCAAAACCCCAATACTGCCAAAAATTGTAGATCCCAATACCCTTCAATCAACCCAGGAGTGCATTTTTGTGATTTTGATAGGGGACCCAAGGGTCATCTTTTTGCTGGCCCCTCTCGTGAGGTGGTTGTGGGTTGTCCTCAAACCCTGTGTGGTAGGTCACCAGTGCAGAAGAGCCTTGGGAAAAACCATCTTGACTTAGGCCACCAAGAAATGGCTATACTGATAGATCTTTGGTACATTCAAACATGAGTGAAGGAGACCAGGATGGGTGGACCCTGTGACTCAGACTTCCTGGGTGGCTGCAACCAGGAGTGAACAGGCATGAAAAATAAGCCAAAAGCTCATATTTATATGAGGTCCTCATCAGTACTGAGGAATTTCCATTACACAACTTAAGTGTGCAAAACAATGCCATAGTTCTTGAATTTTAACATAATCAAATCAGTTAGACTTGATGTCAAGCCCTCATCCTGCTGATTGGAAATTTAACATCAGCCATTCATGGCAGCACTCAGAGTCATCCCAAGCCTATGCACTCAAGGTCACTGTAGGTCTTGGGTCCCTTCCCAGTCTGAGGCCCCCTAGTGGCTCTGCCTCTCCCTGCATAGGCAGATCCAGGGCTAGGATCACCTCCCTGGGCATACCTACAACTTTATCCTCCTTCCGACCCTAGGAAGCCCACCCATCTGCTCCACCCCATCTCCCTACACAATCCATACCCATGGGGAGGAGCAAAACAGCCAGGAAAGGAAGGGTCTATAGGGACTTTTTGACTCCATCCTTCTTGGAATAAGAGATGAAAAACTAAATGAGAACCAAATGCCATATCTCTGTCAATTACCCTTTGACCCAAAGTCTTCTAGAAGGATCCTCAGTGTCAGCCCCAAGATGGTGGTGAGAGTAGTCTCAAGGTCTCATTTGAAAATGAGGAATCAGAAAAGAAGGAAGTAACCATGTGACCGACTCCACACAATAATTGCTCTGGCAGTTGTCTCACCTGCTGTAACCCCATCTCCATTCTGAAGTGGGTGGGGGAGACTTACATAGTGGAGAGGCCCCCTCTTTTCCTGCTGAAGCTCACTGGCCTGTGGAAAGAAGCTAGAGGAATCACTTTAAGGCAGTGTAACGTGGGTGATGGAGGTGGGAGACCAGGTAATATTTCACTAAATCACCCTCTAGTCAAATACCTATTCATTAAACAGGGCCCACTTGGCCCCACTGCATCATGAAGTAAAGGAAAGTTGTGGAGAAAGGGACAAAGATGAAAGGTTTTGAGAAGAAAAGGCCCTGAGAACTCTGCACACAGACAGATCTTAATGGACACCCCATCTGGTGACAGGTTAGCAGATTCTTGCCTATGAAACAAAGCGATATTAAGATTTTCTTCAAACAGTCTCAAAGATGGAGAGATGCAGTTTGGGGCCTGAACCCAGTTAGTATCAAATTGATATTAAAATATGATACTACAGATTCCAGAGAGATTGGCAGTGATCTGTGTGTGTGTGTGTGTGTGTGTGTGTGTGTGTGTGTGGAGTGTGAGTGAGTAGGGGATGGGGGGGAATAGAGAGGTAAAGACAGAGAAACCTCACAAATCCTGGAGAAAAATCTGTCTTTCACAACCATAGGAACTAAATGCCCGGGGAAAAGGTCCTCCTACTACCATTAGTGTCAGATTCATTACTTTTTCTGTCAGAAATAAACATGTATGGCAGAAGCCCTAGGCAAATCATAAATGGGAGGAAAACCTTTCTCCCATGATGCATCCTGCCCATTTATGTACACTCCATCCCATTCCCACTCCTGCAGCAGGGCCACAGGACACAGGGCTCTCCACCTTGCTGAAGTCCCTGCCTCCCTAGGCACCTGCTACACTTGGATGACAATAAACACACAAAGTTTGTTTCAGTTTGCCAATCCATCCATTCGTCAAACAAACGCCTTTAATCAGTGAGTCACTGAGGACAGGCCTGACCATACTTCAGAAACATACTCACCAATCTCAGACACACAATGCAACACAGATTTATCTCTGGCTCACCCTAAGTTCATGGCAGATCTGGATGACTCTGCAGGGCAGTGGCTGCCCAGGGCGGCTCAGTAAGCAGACTGCTTGGACCCTGAGGTGCCAAAATTGACGGGGCAGGGAAGAAAGCTGGGAAAGGATTGCCCTAGTAGGTAAGTGCTTCGATCAAAAGAGAACAAACACCTGTCTTGGCTTCCCTGGCCAGAACTAGTAGCATGGCCGCTGTCTAACTGCCCTGCAGGTGGGTAAGGATAACCCCGTGTGCTCAGAAAAGAGAAAAATCAGACATGGCTGAATGCTAGAATCCTCAGTCGTGCAGGAGACTTTCCAGGCAGAGGGAACAGGCAAAGGTGTGAGGAGGCAGATGAGCCCGCACTTATTCTGAGAACTCACTGCCC